GCTATGAGAGCATTAAGTCTAGCGAAGCATTTTTTGAAGCATTTTCAGGGAAAGTAAATTTCCTCTTCTGAGTGTGGGGTCCCCATACGGCGCCCAGCCTCTCAATTTAATCCAACCCCTTGTCACACGGGCTGAGGCCTGGCAGGCCATCCCTGTAGTGCCAATCTGGGTGTTGGAGATAATAAAATGAGGTTATTCACTGCAATTCGCTCGAATACCCCACGATTCAGCTGCTTGGTTCCCAGCTCAGTTTAGAGCAAAGGCGCACACGTCCTGCGCTCAGAGGTGATGAATTTGCTGGCGATAGGAGCCGTAGAAATGGTTCCCCCAGCTCAGAGCGAGTAAGGCTTCCACAGCCGCTACTTCCTCATCCCCAAAAAGGATGGTGGCCTCCGGCCCATCCACGATCTCAGACATCTGAATCACGCCCTCATGAAAAGGTCGTTCAGGATGACTATGCTGAAACAGATCCTTGTGCAAATTCGCTCCGGAGACTGGTTCTTTTCGCTGGACCTGAAGTATGCATACTTTCTGGCCCCCCGCACTTTTACGTGAAACTCTGAAGCGCTCAGTCAGTGTGTTCGGCGAGTGAAAATATATCTGTGCTAAACTTATACTTAGCGTCCAACTCACACACTGGCGAGTAAAATCTGAGAATTTATTAGCCAGTGGCTAATATTAGACATGATTTAGTCGCCCAGAGTGTAGATTAGTCGCATATGCGAGTGATTTACTCGCAATGTAGAGGGTTGCAAGAGCACGGTGTTCCCCAGCCAGCGAATATCGTTCCTGGGAACAATTTTCGACTCAGCCCAAATGAGAGCTGTAGTCGCGCTGGAACGGGCTCTGGCCATATGGAGGCTGGCGACCTCCTCCGAGATTGGTACCACTCGCCCTCTCAAAGCGTTTCAGAGGATGCTGGGCCTCATGGCGGCGGCATCGCCAGTGCTACAGTTGGGTCTGCTTCATATGCGCCCCCTTCAGCGCTGGTTGAAACCACGGGTTTCATCCCATACGTGGCGTCACTGACGCCTGAAGATCAGGGTGAGTCAGGCCTGAGTAACAGCCCTGGCCCCCTGGAAGAACTCCCGCTGGATGGAACAGGGCGTGGCCATGGTGATGGTTTTGCAGAAGGACAGTTGTCACGACAGACGCCTCCAACTCAGGTTGGGGGGCGCCGTGCGAGGGCATACCGACTTTCGGCCACTGGTCGAAAGCGGAAAAAGGCTTCCACATCAACTACCTGGAAATGCTAGCAGTGTGTCGAGCCTGTCAGTTCTTCCTGCCAGTCCTAAAGGGGCACCATGTGCTAATCCGATCGGACAACATGTCTGTGGTGTCCTACATAAATCGCCAGGGAGGACTCTCCTCGAAGCGTCTCTTCGCTCTAGAGCGCCTCCTGGAATGGGCTCAACTCAACCTGCACTCGCTGAGAGCACCGCCGAGGTAGACCTCTTCACCTCAGAAGACAACTCTCACTGCCCAGTTTATTTCACAAAGTCCAAGGACGCGTTGGCCCACGATTGGCCCAACCTCCTTCTTTCTGCTTTTCCCCGATCGCCCTGTTCCCACAGGTAATCAGGCGAGTAAGGGAACAAAGACACAAGGTTCTCCTGGTGGCCCCCCTTTGGATGAACCAGCTGTGGCTATCAGAGCTAACTCAGCTGTTGGTAGCGGCCCCTTGGTCCGTTCCGCTGAGACGGGATCTCCTCTCTCAAGCGAACGGGACAATATGGCATCCTCAGCCCGACCTATGGGCCCTACACCTCTGGCCGCTCGACGGGAGCGCGAACGGGACAATATGGCATCCTCAGCCCGACCTATGGGCCCTACACCTCTGGCCGCTCGACGGGAGCCTTCGAGCCTCCCAGAGCGAGTCTTAAACACAATTTCAGAGGCTAGAGCCCCGTCTACGAGACGCCTCAATGCCTTTAAGTGGTCTTTTTTCTCCGCTTGGTGTCCAAACTGCGGCAAAGACCCTGATACTTCCGATTTGACAGAGGTATTGTCATTTCTTCAAGAGCTGCTGGATAAGGGACGCTCCCCATCCACGCTCAAAGTCTATGTGGCGGCTATAGCGTCCTCTCATGCTCCTATTGCGGGCCAATCGGTGGGCAGAAACAGCGTGGTTATCTGCTTCTTAAGGAGGAGGAGGAGGCTGAATCCGCCTCGTCCCCCTACCCTCCCTTCATGGGATCTGCCCACTGTGCTGAGAGCCCTGAAGGGCCCTGTTTTCGAGCCACTACAGTCTGCCAACATCCGGTCACTATCACTGAAGACTGCTCTCTGCTTCTGGCACTGGCATCAGTAAAGCGAATAGGGGACCTGCAGGTGCTCTCCATTAGCCCTGCCTGCCTGGAATTCGGGCCCAATGACTCTAAAGTCGTCCTGAAACCAATACACGGTTATGTACCTATGGTGCTCTCCACTGCATTCAGAGCACAGGTCATTACGCTCTCCACGCTTCCTCCTTCTGAAGAGGACAGAGAGTTATCTCTGCTCTGCCCCGTCAGAGCTCTAAAGGATCTGGGAGATCTTCGGCGAGGCCGAGGTGGACCTCTTCGCCTCAGAAGACAACTCTCACTGCCCAATCTATTTCTCAAAGACCAGGGACGCTTCCGGTTACGAAACAAAGACTCTCTAGATGAATAGTAGACTCCATCTCGCTAGCGTACTCTTCTTTGGGCCTTCAATGCCCCATTGGAGTACGGGCCCACTCGACTAGAGGCATCGCCTCGTCTTGGGCATGGTCCAGTGGTGTGTCCATCGCGGATATTTGTGAGGCGGTTGGCTGGGCCTCGCCATCCACATTTGCAAGGTTTTATAACCTGGAAGTCCTGGCCTTGCAGGCCAGGGTCCTTTCCGCTTGAAGAGACATGCACTGTGTAAACAAATCTGGCAGAGAGCCCTTGGTTGTATCACGCTCAAGTTCTCTGGCTTTTTCCCATAGCATCTTAAGACAAGACGCAGAAGGCTACTCGTTCCGTATCTCAGGGAACCGAGGTTACGTTAGTAACCGAGTACGTTTTGCTACCCTAACCATAGAATAACCAGGGTTTATGTAATAAAACATCTCAGGTTACGTATGTAACCATGGTTCCCTGAGTAGGGAACGAGACACTGCGTCCTCTAGGGGTCGCTATGGGGAACGCCTTGTCATGACCCGTGTCTGAAGCATACATTGAAAAAACACCAACAACACGTTGGCTGGCGACAGCCATGACGTCACTACCGGTGCGACTATAGTATAAATAGGCGCAGGGAGAACACATCATCCACTTCTTCAATGTCTATTTCTTTATCACAAATATTCTGAAAGTTCTGGTCTATTTTTTTGGTATCACTCACCAAGCTTTTTAAAAAAGTATCAATGTTGGAAGTAGCTGATATGGGAGAATACCAATTACTAAAAAACTGAGCAACATATTTCGAAATAACTGAGGAATTATCTACTAATTTGTTGTTAATCATTAATTTTGAAATTTAGGCAAAATCACAGTTTCTTTTTTTGAGGCCAACAAATATTTTGTATTTTTTCCCCCTTTTTCTAACCATTTAAGTCTAGTCTTTATCCTCATAGATCTTATCTAATTCAATTTGCAATAAATCTTTGTAACTCACAGTCAGTGACTATGTCAAACTGATGTACATATGGCAGAAATAATGACGTAATCAAACAGACGAAGACATCATTTTGTAGGCGGATCGGCTGTTAGCATCGCACTGGTTCCCTCGACAAAAAGCCAATAGGATTGTTCCAT